CATCAGTGTCAATCTGGAGTAACTGCCATAAGTCAATGGATGTTGCTCTTTCAACTTTGACTGGAATATGGTCCTCAGCAGGCTGTCCTTGATAGCAGGAAGCGGAGAAAAGCTGACAGCGGCCTGGGGCCTGGCAATTCAAAAGGGGATGGGGCTCCCAGCTGCTGCCAGGCCCTTGAAATTGCTGCTGGAGTCCCACACACCATGTATGTGCCAAGTGATGCTGAGGTCTGTAGGGTAGGCACAGTGCACTCTGGGTGGCACTGAGGTCTGCCTGAGGGAAGCTAGCCCCAGCCCCTGCCCCTTTTGCCCAAGGCCCAACTCCTTCTGAAACACAGGGCTGGGCCTCTCCCTTCCCTCTAGCTTAGGAGCCTGGGGAATCTGTCCTACTTGTCCTCAGTATCTAATGTTGTGATCTTCCAAGTCTCCTTTCCCCCTCCCAGAAAGCAGGATGCTCATGCTGCTGCTATCCTGTTTTGTACTGACAATAATTAGCTCATCATGTGCAGTTAACTACTTTGCTTCTCACTATCCACTGGTATCTGGTTTCCTCATTAGCATGTCTCAGCTTCTTGCAGTCCTCCTGCATGATGCTAGCAGCCAAAGGTTAGTTTAATTATGGCAAAGCTCTTCTACTCCAGGGTGCTGGGAAAGGGTTCAGGCACAGTCAGCCTTTCCGGGGGTGTTAAATATTTTCCATTCTCAGTGCCAAGATCTTAACCTAGAGGAAGCCACTTTTGGGTCACCTGGTATGGAAATATACATGGATGACCTTCAGTTTGGGGCTTCAGTTTCTGGTGTTGCCTTTCAGCTCACCTTCTAGGCGAAAGGTGAGAACTCAGGTTTGTGTGTACCTGAGCTAGAGTGGTATGTACTGGTGAACAGAATGGGAGTGCCAAAAGACCTCTGAACAAAGCTTGTCATCTGCTGCTTTCTCCAAGTTGGGCTAAGTATCCTACATGTCCTAGTGAGGGAAGCAAAAATATTACTTGCCCTCTGCAGCCTCCCGAGGGCTGTCATGTAACATTTTGTGTAAAGCTTAGAAGCCAAGGCTCACTTCTAAAGCTGTGGTCCAGTGACAGCAGTTGCTGGGATCGTGTATCCGAAGTTTCATGCAGTCATATGTAGGTTGGAAAGGGGGAGTTAGCCCATCATAAAACCTCCTCTGTAGTGTTCTTGGCTGGTGGAAGGTGCCAAAAGCTCATGTCCCATGTTGATCTTTGCTCTTCAATCCCAAGACTCTCCAGTGAAGCAAGTAGCTACACGCTTTAATACCTACACTCTGATTATGCACACTGCATTCTGGGACAGAATTTTGAGTGCCCTGAGCTCAATGTAAAACCTGCAACAGTGGGTTTTGTGGGTGCAGATCTCCCTTTTGTTTCCAATTCATGTTCTGGAGGGGAACGTCCCTTGGGCTATTCCAGTTTACTATACACTTCAGATCATACAGAGAAATCAGGCTGAGGAGGGTGAATAAATGAGTCTGATTCATCTTCTGTAAAGTGACTGGGAATCTGCCTCTTACTTTGGAGTGGCTGGGGTCAGATTCCACCTAATTTGCTTCCTGAATGTAAGTGGCAATGTCTTAAGACAACTTGTTCTCTCAGCCTCCCTTGTTGCCCTTGTTGTGGGAACTATCTGTCACATGCTAGGAAATCTGGCTTCATACACTTTTTCCATTGACTGTCCACACCCTTTGAAAGGGTAATTGCGACATCTCCTCCTCTTTATGCTGCCTCTATGATTAAAAAGCATGACTTAGTGGAAAAAAAAGCTTGACCTCCTTGGGTTCAGCCTCTTGTGCAGCTGCTCAAGATAAGATTGTGCTAGTAAAAGCTAAGCTGAACCCCATGTTGGGGGAGATTTGTTTGTGAGGAAATGACTAGCTCTTTGGCTTCTGAGAGAACAAACCTGCCAGTCTGTTTTGAAGACTCCTTCATTTGACCTAATGCAGCTAAAATGAGAACAGCCAAAGGTTAGTTTTAATGATTATACTGCTGTTTTCCTACAGTGCAGGCTATTTTAGTGACATTATCAGCATATAGAATACAAATTTTTCTTTGTTGTAGCTCTCTAAACAATACAGGTCAAGGTTCTTTGTGCTGGGACTCTGCAACATTAATACTGACACTTCAGTTTAGGCAATCCCAGACACCCAGTCCATTGGCTTTGCTGAAGCCACGAAATGGTGAGAGCCAGTTACTGCATGGCTTGCTCTGGAAACCAACTGCAGCACTCATGCTGCTGTCACAGGATTCATAGGCCTTGTCCATACTACAGTCGTCTTAGGCCAGTGTTTCTTAAACTTTGAGATAACTGAACACCTAACAATAATATTTCTTTTTTTATGAGGAACACCTATGAAAATTTTCAACAAAAAAAATTCAGACAAAGACAAAGCAAGAAGTAACACACACAGAAGAGGTTGTGGCACACCTGTGAGTTGTTCACGGAACACCAGTGTTCTGTGGAACATAGTTTAAGAAACACTGTCTTAGGCCATGTTTCCACTTGCCGGAGGTTCAGTGCTCTGGCAGTCCATCCTCCTAGGTTTGATTTAGTGGGTCTTTACTAGACTCACTAAATTGAATACTGGGGGTGCCCCTGTCGGCATGGGTATGCCTCACTGTTGCAAGGAGTAAGCAAAGTCAATGGGAGCATTTCTCCCATTGACTTCCCACTGTGGGGCTGCCCCAGAATATCGATGCAAGATACGTAGCTGGAGTTCCCCTCCACCGCTGTCCTTAATTCCCTAGCAGTGCAGCTGAAGGGCATGGCTAAGGTGCCCTGGAGCTGTATAGGAGAACTGGAATTAGACACCTCCCTGCCCCTTGCCCAGGCTACCTATCTGAAATGTGGCTTCTTTTATTTTCACCATCCCTGAGTGGGAGTCTCCAGCAGCCTTACTGGGGCTGTCTTCTGAAGAATCTTCTCCCAAAGTTGGTCTTTCCCCTCTTTCGCTTCTTTCACAGTCATCTGTTTTAACGGTTACTGAACTGGCAGTTGTTCAGGATTTAATCCCACAAAGACTTTCCCTATCTAAGGGGAATGACCCAACTAAATCCCATGAAACCTTCTGTATTCAAATCTGAGCTAGGTTTTCCTTTGGCCATTGACTCCTAGCAATTCATTTCAAACACTCAATGGAAGCTGATCTGTGGAGTTGGTTAATTGACTGACTGCCATATTACAGCATATCTCTAATAGTTCCACTGAAGAAGTTAGGCCAGATTTTCCCAGGACTGTCTTCTGGGTGTGGGTGCCCAGTGCAGAACTGGAATGGGACCTTTTGAATCATTTGGTCCTGTCCCCCTGCAGTGGCAACACCATCTCACAGTTCTTTTCATAAATATAGCAAGCTCATCTTAAAACTAGTGAGTTAGCTCTCACTGCTTCTACTGGAAGGCTCTCCCCAAACTCGTGTGAAAAATCTAGGGCTTCTGACCTGAGCATCAGTCACTGCAAATGGAATGGCAAGCTTGGCCCCTAAACTTTAATAATAATAATAATTAATAATAAAAAGCTTTCCAAACTAGTGGCTCCTTCTGGAAAAACGTAGGTACTGCTGTCTGCACAAGGCAGGAGTCCTGTCTTCTAATGCTTGACTAATCAAAGAATAGTGCAATGACTATAAAACTGCTGCTGGGACCCTGATCTCCTTTGCAAGCCTCAAGAAAATGGAGTGGCCATTGTGGCTGCCCTCCAAATTTTTGAAGAATCATCTTTTAATGATGCCTGGTTAATGCTTAGTCCTATTAAACAGGGCCAGAATTTTGAATGAACTGTTTTTAATGATTTAACTTGCCATTGGATAATCAGAGTTGGCAGGCCTTGTTCTGTTAGATTCTTGTGTATGTCAATTGGTGTTTATTAAAGCAGTCCTAGGTAGCCCACAGTAACTGCACTGCATTGTTTGCAAGCTAGTATTTTCTTGCCTCTTTCATGCTTTGAAGGTTTCAAAAACTTGGCAGTGGTTCTCCAGTGTTGTAGGAGTACTTGTTGTTGTTTACCCTGGAGTTCATCAGCACACCACTACAAAGCCAGGTGCTTTCCTGGATTGAGTTTGTACCTTGACACCTAGCACTGTCTGTGTATTCTGCTTTAGAAGATCACCCAACTGCTCTCCCATCTCCAGCATTATCCTACCAAAACAGCACCAGTACTTGGGCTTGAGTGGTTTGCTGGGGTTATCAAAAGGTGAGAGCAACATAGAAGATGGCAGGAGGTCCACATCTGCTTTAGGACAAGGAAATGCATCTCAAAAGCATTCAGTACAAAAGAGAATACTAGCAGTGTAGGGTAATCTGAAAAACAAACCCCTTAACCATTGTGAGGGATAGTTGTATTACTACTTTAAATTTCATCCCATCCCAACTCACGCATACTGTCTCCTAATCCTGGAAATGTTCTCTACACTGTTTAGTTATCTTTAAATTTCAGTAAGCCACTTTCTCCATTTTGACTTGGAAGAAGCAAGCTAACCGCTTTAGACAGATAGCAGCTCCAAACCTTGGGGCCAAAAGTCCAAGAAGAGCTTAAATAGCAAGACAGTTTTCACAGTATTTCTAGCCTGACCAAAAGCAGAAAATGCAGATAGCTAAAAGCCTTGCTATGAGAATCTTTGCTATCTGCCAACTCATGAGCATCCGTGCTGCTAATGACTCTGAGAGACTTAGTTGAGATAAGTGTCTCTAAGCATAGAGATGTCAATCTGAAACTTTATTCAAGCCAACTGTCAGTCTTGGAAATCTTCAGACAGCTTTTTTTAGTATTCTGGTTCTTCGGGTCCTAGCCTGGCTCATGAGTTACTGCAAAGATGGCTTTCTTAAGAAGCTAACCTAAAAAGTTCTGAACTTGCAAAACTTCATTTGGCTGGCTCACTCTCAGAACCAGACCTCTTGAGATGTGGCTCTTGATAATTGTGGTACTTTGTAAGCTGCTATTCACTTTCAAAACACTGTCTTTTTAATGAGGTGGTACTTTTTTTTTTGTTTCAGATTTTCCCTGACCCCTCCGACTTTGACCGTTACTGTAAACTGAAGGATCGTTTGCCTTCTATTGTGGTGGAGCCAACAGAGGGGGACGTAGAGAGTGGTGAGCTGAGATGGCCACCCGAGGAATTCCTTGTTCAGGAGGAGGAGGAGGAAGAGGAAGAGGAGAATTGCGAAGAAGCAAAGAAAGAGAACAAAGAGCAATAAATGGCATCTGAAGAAACACAAGGGACTATGTTGTCTTGAGGGAAGAGCCATGCCTGTTCTGAAGGTCTTTTTTCTTAAAAAAAGACAGAAGTTCAATTTTGCACCTGCAAGATTTTAGGTTTTTGTATTCTCTGTATCGAGAACTGAAGCCCTCGATGTGACAGACTCTCCAGACCTTCTGAGGAAGGAAGTCATGCAGAGAAATGTTTGCTGTTCTCAAGATCATTATCTTTTCTTTTTTTTAAGACTGAGAGGCAGCAGTAAAATTCCAAGGCCCTTGGTGGAGAGTGAACAAGCAGGGCTGTTTCATGAGTTGTGGGGAGGGTGAGAATAAAGAGAAATGTAAATTGCAGCAGTGTTGAGCAAAGAACCGCCTCCGGCTACAAAAGCATGAGAATAGTCCTCATCTCTCAAATTTTCCTTTCTTATAAACTTCTGTTTTGTGTATTTGAGTGGAGAGGAAATGTGACATTTCACCACATAAATGGCTACTCTGGCATGCTTGCTGGGTGATAGGCATAGAAGCTTTGTAGTCTTTTCCCAAGCCAGCATCTCCTAAACTTACACAAGCATGTGTAGGAGTAATGGACATCTTGCTTCAACTCTCCAACCTGTTCCCAGTCTTTGCTCAGGAGGTGTGTTCTCCTTTTGCTTTCTCTGCGTTTAAACCTTGTAATGCTAAATAGCCCAATTCAGAGTTGGAATGATCTGCTGCTGCTCCTCCCTCTGTTCTGCAGAGTCCTTGCTTATTGTGCAGATGTTTAGCATGAGGTAACAAGGAAATTTCACAACATCTAAATCTTGCTCTAGAAGTGGTTAGGATATTTCTTTCCTACTAGTAGAGACTGGTGTGTTTACAAGACAAAACTGCAAGCTCTTACCCGCTGAAGGAGCCACCTGCCACCTTAGATGATTCTGGGGCTGCAAGGTTTCCCATCTCAAACACCCTGGGTCAACAGTCTGCTCACATCAGGCGAAGTAGAAGGGCAGGGGGTGACTGTGTGGAATTGTTAGATTTGGGGTTGTTTTCTTAGCAGCAGTGCTTTACCAGAGCTCTTAGACCTAGCAGTGCTGGCAGACCAAGATGCTTGCACAAAATCATCCACTTAAGATTGGATGAAATTGAAAATCCCCACATGCAACCAAGTCAGAGGAATGTTGCCAAAACTGAAATTAGAGGCAGTCCTAGAAGAAATTGATGACATGATAGGATAATTGGGGGCGAGGGGAATGATTCCTCTATTCAGAAAATATTTTATGGCTTTTGAGTATTCAGGCAAGATATGCTTCTGATTGTAAGAAAGTGTTACTAGGTTTTAATAAAGGACAAGCTGGTTTCTAAGGTATCCCATGCAACTTGTTCAGTGCTGAACTCTGTCCTACCTGACCTTTGTCTAGAAGAGGAGCTGGTGGCAAGGCAGGCTGACTTGCTGTTTTCTTGGAAAGTAGCAATCCAGCGACTCTCTGGAAAAGCCCTGGGGTCCTCAAAGCATCTGAGGAGCTGGCAAGTCTAAGCATGAAATGCTAGCTGTTTCCATCTTAAAACAAGTCTGGAGATGCTAAAGGAAGAATGACAAATGTTAAGGCCTTAACCAGACTTCATGATAAACTCAGTGCATCCCCTCTGCTTATAACTGGTTCAGTTTAAATCTGTTTGGACTCTTGTGTGTGTGTATGTGTGTGTATATATATTTGTATCTAATACCTCATGAGTAGTTTAAACGCTGGTGGGGGTTGGGATTGCTTTTAACATATCGGCAGGATTGTTTTAGTCTTGTCTTGCTTGTGGTTAAACTTAATGGCAATAACTTATCAGCTCTGTTACTATTTCAGACAGACCTGAGGGATTGGAGACTGACTTTTTTGCGTTTGTTCTGACTAGTAGCAATGTAGAATGCAGCTTGTCTCTTCCTCCTTTTTTAGCCACAAAGAACCAGTCTCTCACTCACTCCCAGGTTTGGTGGATGCTCTGTCATCACTGACCCTCTCATCATGATCTAGTGGCAATATCATTTTTCAACTGATGGATCCAGTTATGTCTGAGCATCTGTTCCAGTCTTACTGTTTAATGGAATGAGCTTATACCCCTGTATACCAGCCAGCCTCTTTCCTTTTTAAAAAACTGTTACTGGTCTCAAACCTGTGCCACCATGTTGAGGCTTGTTAACAGAGAGGTTGTTACGTGGGTAGCAAAAGGACAGAGATCCTTAAACTCCAGATTTAAAGAGAAATGTCTGCTCAAAAGACTGGCGTATTCCTGTCTGCATCCTTTTTTTAAGTATTGTGTAATATTTCTATTGTCAAATGTATTTGAAGAACAATGCATTCTAGTAAAACTCCTGTTGTCTTGTCTGTACATTCTATTTCTGTAATTCTTTTTTGAGCCTCAGGGAGAAGCTAGCTTTTTTTTTTTTTTCAAACTACTTTTTTGTCACTGTGACAGTTGTAAATAAAGTTTGAAAATGCTTTCCAACTCAGTGGGTTTCTTAATTCTGTCTACAGAAAGGTGTTGGGATTTCAGATTTCTCAGTGTAAATCTGTACTGGAAGAAGCCTGTCACCTCAGTGAGGCCATCTTATTCAAAGCACTTAGATGTGTGCATGTGTCCTGGTAAAGCTGAGGTGATTAAATATAAACATGCTTAAAATAAGTGGCTTGCTGAGCTAGGGCCTAAATCACTTGAAAGGAAGATACCAAGGGCCCTGACTCCTCACTTTGCACCTGTGCAAATAAAGTGAGGAACCTGCAAAGGGCCTTGGGTGGTGCTTACCTTGCAGTGCCCCAGATTAGAGTTCCTGTGACTTCCTACCAAACCGAATTGGCTAGCTAAGCTCTCTAGCCAACAAATGGGGAGAGACAGTGTGACTAGGAACATGATTCACAGTCTAGAAACCAGTATGCTAGGCCTCTCCATGCCTAAGCTAGCCAATGGGAGATGCCTATCTGCTAAGCCCTGCCCCTTTCTCAGAGTGAATGCCTAGGTGTAGGCAGGTGGGTTGTGCCGGGCTAGTGATCCATGAATGGGTGTGTATTTTCTTGTGGAGAAGAGAGGTAGCTTACTCATTCCACAAGGAGACAGTGCACCTTCACTTCCTCATAATTGTTATAGCACTCTGCTGGAAGGTAGGAGATCCAGGTTCAATTCCCACCTGCCCCTGCTTGCATCTGGGGGGAAGGGGAGATTGAAACGGGTCTCCCACCTCTTGGTAGTGCTCTAACACGTTGAGGCAAGGGTCCCTCAGTCTTTCCTGTTCCATTGGATGAGTGTGACTCAAGCAGGGGACCTGAACTTGAAGTCTCCACCTCCCAAGTGGTGTCTTAACTAGTACAGCATCTCTGGCCCAATGACTTAATTACTGTAGATAAGTAAGTGTGTATACATGGCAGAGACTGTGCACTACAGTGGTGAAGGTACCTAATGGATGGGGAGAGGGGGAGAGAAACACATAACTACCTATCTAGTTTTGTAGAGTCTACCCTAGACTTGAGGCACAAATGTCACTTGAAAGTGTTTTGCTATGAAACTCGTGGGACATCTACTCCAAAGTTCTACCCAAGTCTCCATTGACTTTCACTGCCCGAAGTGCTCCTACTGATAGTAACCAATTGTTCATACATACAGGTTCATCCCCTTACCAAGTAAGTATGTAACTGCTATTTAGAGTAGTGTTGCTGTGCTTTGAACTAAGAAAGCCAGAGAATGCCAACACATGGGCTTCCGCTTCAACAATGAAGAAATAAATTGGCCCAAAAAGAGTAGGGCTGTCAACTCTATTGGCCCTTCAAACTCAACTGTCCTGCTATATTCCATTACTATACAGTTGTTACTGACTGATATAGTATAGCTAAAATGTGTAGCACAGGCTGCACCTTAATCCTTCTGCAACCAACTTAAAGCTTAGTTTGTGCCCCAAAATGTTAGTCAGCACTCTTGTGTAGCTGGGACCCCTTAATGCAATCTTTCCCTTTTGGGCAGCTTTTCTTGTATATTTGATTTGCATTTTGGGATCTAACTAGATTGCCAGGTTCAATTAAATGAGTCTGCTGTCTTTAAGGGGGCTTGTGTGTGCACTAAAATCTAGGTATTAAGGACCAAACACTGCTTGAAATCTGTACTTAGTATATAATGGACTACAACTGTATCTACTCAGACTACTTGGCCTGTGACTGGAGCATTAACTTTACACTAACCTAGTTTAGAGATACTAACTTGGGTCCTGACACTAAAATTAAATGCTTGGGAATTGAGGGCACGCCTAGCACTAAGCCCCAGCTTAAATGCTTAATGCTTTCTTGCTTTTGAGAGGTGGATATTTGCATTAGTAGTACTTGTAGGAAAAATGTCAAGTTTGCTCTTTCCTGATGGGACTCTGGTTTAAGCCTCTTTATAAAGTGCTTTGTTTAATTAGTTTTTCACCTCTGCTTAGACCTTCAAAGTCTCTCGATTATAGCAATGTTGTGGCAATCTGGGAGATCACGTGGTAGGCTGTATTTCCTGCACCAGAATATCAGTTCTCTGCTGGCAAAATGCAGAGCTGGTCAGGATTAGAAATTGGAGAGGAGGGAGCTGGGAGCAAATGAATGGGTTTGCCTGCCACCATGGTGCACACAAGCTGAAATGGTTCCCTGGCTCAGAGCAGAACACCCCGATAGTTCCCTAAGGGTCCATTCCTTTCTTTGCCAGCACAGAAAAAGTAGCTTGTCCGTCTCTGACTAGAGGACATCATTTGGATTGGAGGTGACCTGTTGGAAATCAAAACTAAAATGTGCCTAGTGGAATGATGCTGGGGAGAAAGGATATCTATTACATGGTGGTTGGCCAGAGGAGGGAGAGGGGTCACTGTTCTCTTTGTGCTAGCACCAGCAAATGAAAATGGAATTGGCCTGCTGTCAATGGATGACCCTGAGTTTCCCACAATGTGTTTTCCTTGTCAGCATGCTGGTCCTCTCTTACAAAGAGAGGGCAGGTTCCAAAGCCAGTCACTGGTCGTGTATCCCTCTTCCCTTCTGCTTGAGGTTTAGTTCCTTCTGGAGGGAATAATGGGTGGGTCTACATAGCAATTAAATACCCGTAGCTGGCCCATGTCTGCTGAGACAGGCTCAGAAGATGTGGGCTGCCGGGCTGTATGGGTCTGGGCTCCTTCCTCCTTGCAGGGTCCCAGAGCAATCCTGCCTGAGCCCAAATTTCTACACAGCAATTTTGCAGCCTCCTGGCCCAAGTCAGCTGACCCAGACCAGCCACAGGGTTTTCATTGCTGTGTTAACATGTCCTGTGTGGCCACCATTTCCACATGCATTCATTCTCCTTAAGGCAGTACATTTAACCGTAAGGCAAAGCAGGAAAATAGCTACATGCCCTTGCCTAACTTAGCTAACAAGCCCCCTTCCTTGTCCCAGGGCTCTGATCTTATATTAGTTTTGCTCCTTCTTTGAAATTGTCACTGACGTGCATTTTCAATGTACAGAGCTTTTAAACCTCCACTTGGTATTTGTCCCCTTCTGTATGCACCTGGCTCCTGTAGAGTGCTTAGGTCAGTAAAGGCAGTTTTGCTTCACCACCCTTGGGTGCATAACTTGCTAGGGCAGGTAACAATAGCTGCTTATCCTCTCTTTGGCAATTGCCCCACATTCCTACCTCCCTTTTCTGCCCTTAACAAAAAGCTCATAATGGTCCGAGTTTGCATCAAGCTTTTGAGGAGCACATCCCCATGTAGTTGGTTTCAAAACGTAGTCTTGACATTGCTTTGAGAGATCTTGAAGCACAATTTTAAAAAAACATACTTTAGTCTAGTAATCTGCAACTGAAAGAAAGCCAAGGAGGAATACATTTTAATCTGCTTCAAGTTCTTTAAAGCAATTGAACAAACCAAACGTATCTGGGTAAACTGAAGTAATTGCTGTATCCTCAGTCCTGGCCAGAGTAGAGATAAACCCTATGAAATGTTGCAGGTTTGGACTGGGTGATTGCTTTCTGTTTGTTTGACCCGATGGGAAAGGAAGAACATGGGTGGGGGGGATAAGTTTAAAAGCTCAAACTGGCTCCCTTAACTGAAGTGTAATTATGCATTAATCTGATCCTAACCATCCCTTTGCTGCTGTGCATGATATTTCAGAGTCCTTTTACTTGTCAAGGGCAAATCATAGTGCACATTCATGTCATACTTCTCACCCCTCCCAGTTTAGAGAGATGTTCCTGTATTTTACGCACGCATACCTGTCTCGCTGGGCTATCACTAAATTGGTTGTATGGTGTTGCCAGCATGTATGAGACCGATATCTAAGTTTCTGTAAGGTTGTCAACTTGGTAACTGAGAAATTCTCCTAGTCAAAGGTCAGGACTAGGAGAACAGGAGATGAGAGCTGTTCCCTGCTCTGACACTGCCATCCTGTATGATCTTCAGCAAGTCATAGAAGAATCATAGACAACTAGGATTGAAAGAGCCCTCAGGAGGTCATTGAGTCCAACCCTCTGCTAAATGCAGGACCGATCCCAGCCATGGCTTTGTCAAGCCAGGACTTAAAAACCTCTAGGGATGGCGATTCCACCACCTCCCTAGGTAACCCGTTCCAGTGCTTCATCACCCACCTAGTCAAGTAGTTTTTCCTAATATCCAGCCTAGACCTCCCCCACTGCAACCTGAGACCATTGTTCCCAGTTCTGCCATCTGCTACCACTGAGAACAGCTTCTCTCCATCCTCTTTGGAATTTAGGCCTAGATCCACAAAAGGGCTGTGTCTAGACTGGCAAGTTTTTCCGGAAAATCAGCCGCTTTTGGCTGCTTGAATTTCCGGAAAAGCACTGATGATCTCATGTAAGATCGTCAGTGCTTTTCTGGAAATACTATGCTGCTCCCGTTCGGGCAAAAGTCTTTTTCCGAAAGACTTTTGCTCAAAAGGGCCAGTGTAGACGGCATAGTACTGTTTTCCGCAAAAAAGCCCTGATCGCGAAAATGGCGATCGGGGCTTTTTTGCGGAAAAGAGCATCTAGATTGGCTATGGATGCTTTTCCGCAAAAAGTGCTTTTGTGGAAAAGCATCCTGCCAATCTAGACGCGCTTTTCCGAAAATGATTGTAACGGAAAAGTTTTCCGTTAAAAGCATTTTCAGAAAATCATGCCAGTATAGACGTAGCCAAGATGTTTAGGCTCCTAACTTCCAGTTAGGGTCACTGATGGGAGGGGACAAAGAGAGTAGCTGCCCTGGGGCCCAGCAATTTAAAAGGGCCTAGGGCTCTAGGCTGTCACCACAGCTACCATGGCATCAGCAGCATTCTGTGCCCTGGGCCCTTTAAATTGTCACCAGAGTCCCACACAGCACTGTCTGGGTGGCACTGAGGGATGAATGGAGGAGGTGCAGTGTGGTCCAGGCACACTAGCTCCCCCCCTTCCAGGTCCACCCCTCCCAACACACATATTGCCCAGGGCTCAGCAAAGTCTGTCACCAGCTCTGCTTCCAGCGATTACCATGGAAGTGG